CAGTCAACGCACAAACAAAATCGTAACGTAGTATGCTTTTGTTACGTTACGATTTTCTCTGCGCGTTGACTGAAGTTTAAGATTACGTACGAGTTTAGGTTTAGAATCAGAACTTAACGTAACGTAATGCATTACGAGTTTAGGTTTAGAATCAGTACTTAACGTAACGTAATGCATTACGGAAAAGCTTGTGCGGTGGCCTTTTAGCCAAATGGCCGGTTGAAAGTTAAGAAAACCTTCTTATATATAACTACTTGGAAAACTTTTGGACGCTTTTTCTCGGAATTGGCTGGATAGTGCGTCCTATAACTTTAATATATTTAAACCTTAAGGGTACACTACCACCACACGAAGGCTGATCCCAAATTGAAATTTCCAACCCGTGCGTTCACCTTGTAAGAACGGCTATTTTTACATGGAATGATTAAAAAAGAGGCAAATAATGAACATTTTTTACTTATATTAAATATATAATGCAATCAAAGAATTTACCTCGAGAAATAATTAATCAGGTATAAAAGCAAGAATAATCTGCTTTATTCTTTAATCTTACTATGGCTGCGTTCCGATATTATTGCCACTACTGAAAATGTATAATTTACGGACACTATAGGTTTTCAATACTGGCAGTAATATCAGAACGCAGCCTGTATAGATGAAAATGTGTAATAATTGACAGTAAATGTTAGTGTTACGTCCAGACTCAAATAAAGGAAGAGTCAGCGGGAGGGCGTAACCTACTTACCTCTAGACAAACGCTAGACGATGCGTGTCCTAGAGTCGAACGAACAGACCAGGGCCCCAGATAGGTCAACGACCGGAAGAGTCGCTCTTACTCTATCGAAAGGCCGTTCGCTCGGTGGTCCCTTTTTATATACTATATATAATTTATTTAGTTCCAATATTAAAAGAAAAATATATCTAATAATGCAAAATACAAAAAAGCATAAAATAGAAGATTAATAGAAAAATTAAAAATTAATACAAATAAAAAAATTTTAATTAAAAAAAGTTGGCGCTGCTAACTTTCAAAGTTTATATTAAAACCAACAAATAATAAATTTAATTTAGATCTAAATTTAATTTACACACAATATTAAATGACAGGCTAATAGGAGCCGTGCGTAAGATTAGGGACGCATAATAAATCTAATAAGTAAATGATACATTTAATAAAATAATAAATTTCATAAACGTTTCAGTCCCATCTTCGGGCCATCTTCAGTATAGTCATAAATAAAAGAAGGTCAAATATCGTCAATACATTGAAAATTAATACATTACTCGGTGTGATACATATTTTAAAAGAAAAGTGGATAAAAACGGTACATAAAATCGTAGATAAAAACGTACGTTACAAATAAAAAAAGGTCAAGTGTCGTTATATTTGAAGCTTAATGTTAGCGCCAATCATCTAAAAAATTCATTTTATTTGGCTGTTGCTGCGTATTAATATATCTTCCATTTTAGAGGTATTCTTAAAAATATAGAGGCTCTTTATTCAAGCATTAAATATTAAAAAAAAAGAACAGTCAATATTTTACTTTATTTTTCAGCCTAGTTAAATTATTGTCTGTAGAAGTATGCTAATGGAATTTTATCTTATATATGTAATTGTTGTATGTGTATAGTTTTATAGTAGTAGATAGACTGTTTCCTCAAAGCTATCGATTACTCGTCGTCCTCAGTAGTCTTATCTTCTCATTTGTGCGAGCACATGCTATTGCGCATTCTTCTCTCGTTCGTCTCGAAATGAAAAGTCGAAACTGTATGCGGTATTAGTTTTATTGAATCTAGTAAAATAAATAAAATCGATTATAATATCGTCAATGATAACAATGCGAATAAAATCGGATCAATCGTAGGAGATTTTGCCGAAAAAAGAAGAAAAAAGGTAATTTTTTCTAATTATATATTTATGTGTGTATATACTTGTAATTAATGATATTTCTTTCATGCAACTAATACAAAAACAAATGTACGTGCATAAATTTAACATAAATTTTTTAATTATTCATAATTTAGAGCATGAAATGAACTTACGTGACACTAAGCAACTTAATAAGCTCGATTAGTATGTTTATTTAATTACTCTATATTCTAGATTCTCAAAGTTCTTAAATTGTTGATTATATCGAAATGGATATAAGTGGGGGTTTTAAAGAAATCGATACGTATAAGAGTGGATAATAAATATTCCTCGGAGATTTAGGTGTAATGACTAATTTTGATTATCCCAAGACAAAATCGATATATATATATATATATATATATATACATATGTATGTGTTAAACTGTAAAACAATTAAAAGGGTTTAAAATCAAATATAAAAGTCAAGCATTCACGCATGTCATCCATTTTTTTTAAATTTTACGTTCTAGAAAAAAATAAAACAATACCATTCAAACAGCTTAACAACCGCACCTATCACGACATCACCGTTTTTGGCCTTTCCGTAACTCGTTTTATCGAAGTGGTGTTCTATCGACATCAATTCACTTTTTGACATGCATAGAAATGAGTTGTCACGACCAAACTATTGCAGACTAACAATATTAGTATATTTTTTAAGCCGCAGTTCGCATATCGTCGTGATAGGACATCTAAATATGAAATTAACATAGAAAAAAAATCAAATACGTATTTTCCAGATATAAATTCGACGCGTCAAAAAGACAAGGATGTGTGGAAAAAGTTTGACGTTTTGGTATTGCGCATTTTTTCTTCTCATCGCTTTGTCAGCGAAACTTCAACAAAATTTCACTGACAATGAAGAGAAAAATGATAATTTGGCAGTACGATACGAGATAGACGCGCATTCTACGACAAACTATGGCGACGAAATGAAAACACTGCTATATGATTCGTACAAAAAATCTACCAATAATACGCAGTACGAAGATATGCAGTATGAATCTCGCACCACTTCCACGAGCAGCGAGGATGATGACTCGATACAATTTAAACTCAGTACGCATTCCATACAGAATCATGAAGATGATAAGCAAATACCGATGGAATCTTGCACGAATTCAACAAATGCCAACCATAAAAGCAACTTCACGTCACACGAAATTTATGGAAACTTGATGAGCATAGAAGACAAAAACGATTCTACGTCGCACGAGTTCTCCGAAAACTCCAGTAAAGATAACAGTATAAGTAACATCATTCCATACGAAATGTGCTTCAATATTACTTGCATTCCGCTATGCTGCCCTCTCGGTGATCGTCTACTTGATGATGAATGCCTTTCTGAAGAAAATAAATACATCTTACCATATGTGTACGGATACACGAACGATTCGTTGCAGAACGAAAATAAGACAGTGGACGAATTGTTTCCGCTGGTCGTCTATGATCCGTGCAAGGATGAAGGTCGTTTTTGGAGTTCCGATTACATATTTTTTGCCAATGGTTCTCTCTATTTATCTTATTATGAAATATTTGCCAAATCGACATCATATTGTCTCGCTGTGGTCGAGGATGAGTACGCAATGACTTACTGTTCAGAAATTTATAAAATGATGATGGAGTATGAAGAAAATGTTGAAGATGTTAAATATTATGTTATCATAAATATAAGCTCTAATATAGTGTCTATATTACTTTTGATATCATTATTTTTAGTATATTCTATATTGCCAGAGCTCCGGAATGTACACGGCTTCATGTTGCGCAATTTCAGCGGTGCATGTTTTATCGCATACATATTTAACATTGTGCACATTCTAATTGTAGCGGATGCTGTACATTATTCAGTCTGTATTACAATCGGTACAGTATATTTAAATCATATAATTATGCAATCTTTATAGTGTATATATATTTCAGGCATACTAATATATATTCATGTATTATTGTTTAATAACTTGAATATATGTTTTGTTAAAAATGCAAGAATTAATATGAAATTTAGTGAATGATAAATTTTAGATGCACTTTATCATATAACTAATTTAAATTGGTCTGAATAAATGTATTTTTTTGTGTTTCTGATTTTTTGTTATGTCTTGAATCGACATCTTACTTACAATTAATTTACTATCAGTACATATTTATGAAATATATCTTTGCTATAAAATTTTAGTGCAAATACAATAGTTAGAATAAATCTATCTTTAAACGGAGAAACATGGTAGTAACTATAAGTCTCTCATGTACATTTTAAAGCGCGCTCAATGATTAACATGTTATTAATTTTATTTTTAGCTTTTTTTACCTACTTTTGTTTTTTGGCAAGCTCTTTCTGGCTAATTATAATGAGTTTCGACATGTGGTGGACATTTAGGTAAATTGTCAAATATTTTATATATTATAGTTTATCTTTAACTTGCCTCATCTTAACTTATCTTTATATGATTGATTCATGTATTGTACAACACGACGCGATAAAATAATTTTCTGTAATATAAATAATCGTATTTTATGTTATATACAATACTGTGGACAACGTAAAGACAAAAGACGGGAAATAATACGACACTTTGAATTAATAAAACGGAATTTTTTCTCGTGTTAATGTTGTTGTGGGACAGTGTAAGCAACTATCTGGCTTGTGATAATATAAGTTTCGAGTATAAACATAATAATTATGATTTCAAATAAATTGTTTCTCGGAAAATCTCTATTATTGCATGAAGGTTTTCAAACGATTATATAGTTTTTATTTTGTGAAATCCAATTAAATTTTTAAAAGCAAAAATGGCATATTAATTAATGAACATTATAAAATATTATTATATCTGATCCAATAATAATTCACAATATATATAACGTAATAATTTTTCCCTAAAAATTATTAAGTAGGAATATTGGCAAATAAGAGCTAAGGCGCAGGTATTGTTGCGCGAACTTATTGTTAAATTTTATGAACAAATGTGCATTAAAAATATACATTCCGCACCATTTTTTGCTCCATCTTCAGCATGGTATAAAAATGTAGAAATTAAATTAAAGTTTTAAAACTTAACATGCACAACGTTTGTTGTTGCAAATTTTAAATTAAAATTAATAATCAAAAGCCAGGCTCACTAAGACCTGCGTAGAACCTATATTAATGGACAACATTCAAACGCCATCACCACACGTATATCGTCGATGGTTTACTATATAATGATGACTTTTAAAATTTGACTGCAACAACAACTGTTGTGCATGTCAAGTTTTAAAATTCCAATTTAATTTTTATATTTGTATACCCATGCTGAAGATGATTAAAAAACGGTCCAAAACGTTTCTAATGCACATTTGTTAATAAAATTTAACAATAATAAGTTTGCGCACCAATACTGTTAATAATTGTGTCTGTAATTTGCGCGGAATGGTTTGTGTCAAAAAACGAAAAGAGAGAGAGGATCCGTGTCGGAAATTACAGTAGTAAGACTTACATAAAAGAGACGCAACGCACAAGTCGACAGCAAAAATTTTTCAGCAACGCAAAATCTTAACTAAACTCACTAACTAACAACAGATCCATTTATAATTTTTTTTATCAAAAATTTGTCTTGTACAACTAAATTAAAATTTAGATTGCCATTAGCGCGTCTGTACACTTAATAATATATAGATATACATATAAATATATGGTAGTTTCTCAATATTATACAAATATTAAACCATTTTTCATGATAGTCTAGTGGTTTCTTGTATTATGTAAGTTTATATTTGTAGAACAGACTTTTTCGAGAAAGCCTCGATCAAAAACAAACATTATATTAACGTGCATTTACGTTGATTTTTTTTATCTATTATTAGATAAATATAATTTGTAAAATGTGTTTTGCAGAGGATTTTGTTCGTTACAAAGAAACGTCAGACAACAAGACAAAAGAAAACTGTTGTTTTATACAATCTTTGCGTGGGGTTTATCCCTTATCTTCGCTATTATCACTGTCATTATGGATTCTGTTTCTGAATATTTGCCGGAGATTTTACGACCGAAATTTCGCGAAGGAAATTGCTGGTTCCTTGGTAAGTGCACGTTTCTGACAAATAATTCTATTAATACCGTATTTTAATATACTATGAGGAATACTATAATAATTTTTTGTACATTTCATACTTATAGATCCTAAATCTCATATGTTGTATTTTCACGGGCTCCAAAGTATCTGCGTCATTAGTAGCATTTGCTTATCCATCTCTACGGCATTGAAGATCGCGCGTTACGGAAAGGAAATAGACAATTGTTTGACAGATTCGGAACGCAAGAGATATAATGACAGTAAGAAATGGTCTGTATTCAGATATTTTTGCATCAATGTGTGATGATCTATCTTATTAATGATATTGTTGTCGACATATTTTTGCCAATATCTCTGCTAACAGTATTACATAATCGATGGGCCTGCATTCCTGATAGAAGAAAGAGATGATTATTTGTAGGCGACCCCTTTTTTGTGTGCTCATTCTTCCTTTTTTATTTTTTTGCTTACATAATCTTTAAAAAAAATATACACTACTAAAAAAATAAAAGATACTTTTCATGAGCTAAAAAATTGGGCTATTTTCAAACCGCTAAAATTTGGCGAAAAATTATGGTAGACAAAAAGTTAAAAAAGCATTCTGAATCTTGAAGTTTCTTAAACTTTAACGCACTATCGATAATTTCTTACACAAACTATAACATTTTGTCTACAAAACGCTTTTTTAAAATCTTTCTACAATTTTTTTGGCCGAGTTACACGATTTTGCTATTAAACATGTATTTTTCAACAATAAGAAAGGTGAAAATTTTTTTAAATTATCGGTATCACGTCAAAGTTTGAAAATTTAAGTTTCAAAATGCTCTTTTAATTTTATGTCTGCGATACTTTTTCACCGAGTATCGACAACATTTCTAAAAAGATACAAGCTTTGTTTTAAAGTCATCAAATTCGATTAAATCTCGAGTTGAGATTAATTTTCACTTGGTATAGGACCAAGTAAATTTTCGTGTCCGTGCACAGTAATTATTTCCATAAAAAAATTATTTTCTATGCAACTAACACATTATCGTGCGCGTTTGCCTCTTAATTGCCCGCAAAACTTTAAGTTTTAAAATGTTTATAAAATTTTTTATCTACGATAATTTGTTGTCGAGTTTCAGCGCTTTGAAAACAGCTCAATTTTTAGAGCATGAAATATGTTTCTTATTTTTTTTTGAATGATGTATTGCTGCCATTTCAATCGTGTACGTGTTATTTTGAGAAAGTCTGCAATTCTCGAAATGTGACGAATAGTGAGAATAAAATTAATGAATGTATATGTGTGCATTTATTTCATAAAGGAAACCACATCTTTTGAAAATTTCTTAAAAAAATGTATAACTATCTCTTTCTTCTTTTTTAAGATTGTAATTTGTTCCATTACCTTTTAAAGATAACATGATTAATAGTATTTATAATTGTTATTTTATACATACATATACATATAAGTATACATATATACATGTGTACGTGTTTGTTTCCAGGTTCAATCTATATCTAAAGCTATTTATCCTGCTGTTTATCATAATGGGAATATATTTGTCCATAAACACAATCATATTAATTTTGTTTGAATATATGTATTTTAATATTACATATTATATCTCCTTATGCACTATTGTTCTGGAGCCTCTGCAGAGTCTCTGCTTCTTTATTATCTTTGTGTGGAAAAAGCATATCTTGCGGATGTTATTGAAGCGATTCGGATGCGGTTTGTTTCCAGAAAATTCATGCGCAACAAATGCAACATTGTCGAATACTTTGACATGCACCATTACATTAGAAAAGATGTCTATACAGAAAAAAATGAGTTCTTGCGAACAAAAAGATGAGAAAGATTCGTCCGGTGAGACTAAACTCTAATGTTGCAATGTGCAAAAAAAAATTTATCGCATAACAAGACACACATGCATACACACGCGCGCGCGCACATGCACGCACACACACATGCACACAAACACTCACGCACGCAGGCACACAAACGGTTTATTAACAATTAATTATAATCTCATAATTTTTAAGAATTAACTATACAATATTAGATATTGGCTTTTTTTTATCTTTAATAAGCTTAGCTCAAAATTTCACGCAAAAAATGTATTCTTTATTATCTTATTATTATTTAGTAATTTTTTTCTAAATTTACTTAAGCTCTATTTAATACTTAATGGTCAAAAAAATATACGTAAATTTCTAAATTTTCAGCGTTTTATCAGCGCTACTTATAAAGTTATTATTAAGTTTTATTATTTGCTTTGTAAGGCTCTATCTCTCATGGAATTTTTATAAAATAATATAATTAATGTCATATTTTATATAAATATGTAAAATATTATTGTTATATTGGACTATAATAAAAAGCTTGTAAATAAAGTATTTATTGTGATTTTTCAATAGGATCACTTGCAATTGTAAAATTATCATAACGTAATTTAATTCAATTTATCTTTAATTTTTCATTTTGTACTCACAATGAATCTCTTACTGGTACATATTATTGCTAGTCAAATTAATAATTGTAATCTTGTCAGAATTG